TAATGATGTTAGAAGCTCTGCGTTGTGTTCAGTGTAGAAGCTGTGGCTATGGGATGTAGCTGGAACCGGTGAAATCATTTCAGGTCAGACTGCTCCCTTACTGTTTTGACTGACAAGCATGATTCCTTCCATAGCGTCTTTCCAAAGAGCAAGGGCAAAATTTAAAAGCTCTGTTGGCTTTTATGGCATGGAGTAAATCTTTGTGTTTGAATGTCTGCCCTCAAAGGGGCAGAGGTGGCAGGAAATTCTCTGCTTCTACAGCTGCAAAGCAGCTATCAGCCTTACCACAGTGCCTATAGTCAGAAGTGTGTGCACATGAGTGTGCAGATGTGTATTGAAGCATCTACTCCTCTGCTGCTTGGGTGAGATCAGGAGGTAGTTCTGCTTGCATTTCTGTCTTGGTAATGCCTTACTTCATCCCTTAGAAAAAAACTGAAGACTTCTGTCTCATGTATTTTTGGACAAGGCGTATTTACTGACAGAACTAGGAGATCATAGGTGTAGGGTTGCTTTTCTCACTTTCTTTACCTTTTTTTTTCTTGGTGGTTTATTTTCCCCTCCTTTCTTATCATACTAGTTTTTCACTAAAATGAATCCTTAGTAGCAGGATTCTTGTGTGGCTCTGGTGAGCCAGTAAGAGGTAGAACAGTTTGGATGGGCTGAATAAACCAAGAACTTGTAAGTGTTAACCACGTGTGTGGTTGTTTGCTGGAAGTAAGTAACTTTTAATAGTTTTATACTGTCAGGTGTCTGATTGAGAGCACTTAAAATGCCCTGAGCCCTGAGGAAATGTTGATGAATATGTTTGCTTTTAGAATTGTCTTGCACCAACAAGAACAGCCAGACCCATTTCTGAGGTCTCTCCAGACAGTTCCTGTTCCTGTAACAGATGTGGTGCAATAAGAGCTCAATTTCCAGGTTTAAGTAGGAACAGTGAAAAAATGAATGGATAAATGATTAGCTGGAAAAAAAAAAGCCCACTCGCCTCTAAACAACAGTAATGTAGTTGCTTAACTGGTATAAGTTCTTAACTCGTTGTAAAATCCATGCTTCAGCCTGAAAGGCTAAATTCAATAATCCCATTTTAGGTGGGGATATTGTTTTACTCGCCACCTTTCTTTGTCCCTTCAGTCCTTCTGCCCAGGTAGCTCCCTGCAGAGTGCAGGGAGTTTAATCTTCTAGGCACTGCTTGCCTTTTCCCAGATGGTGAGGCTCCTTCTTACCTCTGCAAGTAGGAAACTGGCTGTAGGGTTTGATGGTAGGGATCTCTCTAAGCAGGGCCATTAAAACTGAACTGTAACCGAAGATAGAGCAGCTTGGGAAGGAACCATGGGTTTAGATGTGTTCCCTACCATTTTCTGGCTGTTTTGTTTGGATTTTTTTATTATTTTTTATTTTTTATTTTTTTTTAAAACTTTTGCTTGAGAAAGGTGTTTGGAAGCAGAAGTAAGCCTAGTGGCACCGGGCATAGAGCATGGGAAATGGAAAAGAAGCGAATTCTGTTTGCTTTTATTCCTCAAGCCTCTGAACAAACAGAAATGTGTTGACTTGTTGACTAATACACCAGATCTTAATGCTGCAGTTTTCCAGGAGTTCGGTTGCATCTCTGCAGTTTGGTGAAGCTGACTTGAAGTACTGTCTTGTGGACAGTGCTGGCAGGGACAGAAGTGCAGGAGCTTGCTTTCTGCTGGATTTTGAATTGTTCTCATGTCTGTCCTCTGCTCCCTCCTGTTTATATGAAAGGTGCTGAGCATCAGGCAGAGGAACAGTTTTACCGGGAAATGAGCTGAGCCTGGGAGGGTTCCCTTCCTGCAAGTGCTCCTGGCTTCTCTCCAACAAGATATGCTTGTAAAAATATCTTTCTCATAGCAACATGTGGCACTTGAGACCTCACATGGTAGATTAATGGTCCTTTTTAAGGTTCTCACATGCTCTGGTCCCTTCTGATGAAGAAACCTTCATGATGGCAGTCTTTGTGCCCAGTGATTTGCTTTTGCTGCGCTTTCCTTCGCTCTTGCCATTGCTTTTTGCCATAACTAGGAATTTGTCAGCTGGGAAAGGAGTTTTCAGACTAGGTGTTGAGCACTGCCCATTAGTCTCAGGTGAGAAACACCAGGGCAGGTTTGCCTCATTGTCAATGTATTTATAGACAGTGGTTTTTCATGCTGGTTTGGTCATTAATGCTCTGACCAGCTTTGCCTCCATGAAAATCCTGTGGAGTAGGATGAGCTGGCAGCTCTCTAGATCATCCCAGCCTGCTGACCTAATCATATTGCCCTCATCATATTTTCCATTCTTTACTTGATGTAGTGGGGAATGTGACCACTGAGAATAAGGAAAAGGCTGGGGTCCTCAACGCCTTCTTTACATCTGCCTTTAATAGGCAGGTCATTTATCCTTGAGGCACTTTACGCCTTGATCTGGAAGTCTGGAATGCTACGCAGAATACACCCCTGATGATTCATGTGGAGACAGAGAGCTCCTTCTCCATCTGGACTGTCACAAGTCCACGGGACTGGATGGGCTTCATGCTAGATTGCCGAGAGAGCTGTTGGGAGTGATTGCTGAGCTGCTCTCAGCCATCTACTAGCACTCTTGGTTATCTGGAGACGTCCCAGGATTCTTCTGGGGAAACTGGTTGTCCATGGCCTGGACAGATATACCCTTCTTTGGGTAAGGAACTGGCTAGAGGGCCATGCCAAACGGATAGTGGTTAATGGTGTGAAGTCCAGCTGGCGACCCGTTTCAAGTGGTGTCCCCCTGGGCTCGGTACTGGGGCCCATCTTGTTTAATATCTTTATTGATGACCTGGACGAGGGCATTGAGTGCACCCTCAGTAAGTTTGCAGACGGCACCAACTTGGGAGGTGGTGTTGATCTGCCTGAGGTTAGGGAGGCCCTTCAGAGGGATCTGGATAAGCTGGATCGCTGGGATGAAGTTCAACAAGGCCAAGTGCTGGGTGCTGCACTTTGGCCACAACAACCCCATGCAGCGCTGTAGGCTTGGGGGTGAGTGGCTGGATGACTGTGAAGAGCAAAGGGATCTGGGGGTGTTGGTTGATGCTCAGCTGAACATGAGCTGACAGTGTGCCTAAGTGGCCAAGAGGGCCAACAGCATCCTGGCCTGCATTGGAAATGGTGTGGCCAGCAGGAGCAGGGAAGTGATCATCCCCCTGTACTCAGCACTGGTGAGGCTGCACCTCAACTACTGTGTTCAGTTTTGGGCCCTTCACTGCAAGAAAGACACTGAGGCCTTGGAATGTGTCCAGAGAAGGGCAGTGAAACTGGTGAGGGGTCTGGAAAGACAAGCTGAGGGAGCTGGGCTTGTTCAGCCTGGAGAAAAGAAGGCTGGGGGTGACCTCATTGTAGCCTTTCAGTACCTTAAGGAGCCTACAAACAGGAGGGGAATCAACTCTTTGAAAGGGGAGATAACTGCAGGACAAGGGGAAATGGTTTTAAGTTGAAGGAGGGAAGTTGGATGCCAGAGAGAAGTTCTTTACAGAAAGAGTGGTGAGGTGCTGGAACAGGCTGCCCAGAGAGATTGTGGATGCTTCATCCCTGGAGGTGTTCAGGGTCAGATTGGATGGGGCCCTGGGCAGCCTGGTCTAGCATTAAATGGGGAGGTTGGTGGCACTGCCTGCGGCAGGGGGTTGAAGCTTGGTGATCCTTGAGATCCCTACCAACTTAGGCCATTCTGTGTGATTCGTGTGAAGATTTGTGGCTGTTTTGGTCAGCTGTGATTGCAGTGTGTATCTCCTGGTACCAGCACGTTGAGTGCTGAGCTGTTGAGCAAGCCTTTTGGATTTGAAGTTGCTTTCAAATGGTTTTGGTTAATTCTGGTGTAATGCTCATCCTCTAGCTCTTTGCAGCGCTGGAAATCCAGCCTGTGTGGGCTAGAGGGAAACAAGACTGTGGGCTTTCTGAGCTCTCCCACTGAGCACCATCATAACAGGTTACTCACTGACACAGCTACTGAAACACAGGGGCAAGAAGAGCAGGTTCCTGCAGTGCCTCCATTGAGTGTTTATTGTTTTTCATAGAATCATTAAGGTTAGAAAAGACCTATAAGATCATTTAGTCCAACCATCTACCTATTACCAATATTGCCTACTAAATCATGTCTGTAAGTATTACATCTGTCTTTTCTTTAAATGCCTCTTGGGGCAGTGATTCCACTACTTCCCTAGACAACCTGTTTCAATGCCTAGCCACTCTTTCTGAGAAGAAATTCTATCTAATATACAATCTGCACTTCTGCTGATGCAACTTGAGGCTGTTCTGGCTTGTCTTATTGCTTGTTACTTGGAAGACCCCATCTTGCCACGTTTGCAGCTCTTGGGGCTTTGAATTACTTCAGGTTTCTGCTATTAAATATTCTTTGGGATGCTAGGTGTTGACAGCACATGTGGGATTTGTCCTGTAGATGGATTTTTGATGTCCATCTTTAATTGCACAGATTGCAGAACTCTAGATTTTGCCCTTTGGTGATAAGTCCTTGGTTTGTCTGGGGTATATCTTTGCTGCCTTCTAGTAGCAAAGACCTTCTAGTGGAACTTACTGTGTGTGTCCGGGTTGCCTGCTGGACAGGATCTGCCCCATACCATCTGATGTACTGTGATGTCTCGGACACAGCAATTGGACCTCAGGACTGGAAGGCTTAATAGTGCCAAATCTAGCTGACAAGGGGATACTGATGAAGAATGTGTTCTGCCAAAGTGATCCAACTTTCTAGGTTTGGTTCCATTTTCTGAGTGTTCTTGCAGACCTATGGGAGGTGGTGGCCGTCTGGGACAGCAAGAGGTAGTCAGCAGTCAGATCCTCATGCAAAACTTGGAGGCTCTGAACATCAAGACAGGGGGAATAGAGGCACAGGAGCCATTTACGTTTTGTCATTATGCTGTTTTGCTTCTTGTTAATCCACTGGAAATGTTGTTTCCGTGGTCCTGGCTCAAGCAGAGGTTCTGTGGGCTATCTGACACAACCTTTTTGTTTTCACCCCAGGAAGCCTTCAGTGATCTCGCCTTATTCTTCTATGACAAGCATGGTGGGGAAGTGATTGCAGTTTTGTGGAAACCTTTGAGCTTTCAGCCTCAGCCTTTTAAGGTAAGTTTTTGATTCTGCTAAAGGCACGTTGCCTTCATACCCTGAAAGCTTGAGTCGCTTTTTCCTGCAGTTACTGTGTAATTCTCATCAGTCCCAAAGCCATTTTAGAAATACAACAAATACTTCTGTCCATGCCTTAGGAAAAGTGAAACCAGGACAGGGATGTGGCCACAGCTTCCCCACAATCATCAACAGAGTCAAAGGGGAACAAATTTATATTCTTGGACAAGCCCTAGCACTGTGATCACTGTGTCAAAACAGAACGCACTGTCCCAGGTGCTCTTCTCTGGTCTCCTTCTGGGAGATGGGCAATGCATTGTTTGCTAAAAATGTTTGCTCTGTGTAGCAGGCTGACCCGTTCTCATGGTTGTGGATGTCTCTTAATAGAAATATCTGGTCTGCAAGATGTTAAGGCATCAAGTCCAGCTTTAAAGTGCTCAAGTCCTGTAAATCTACGGAGATGCATTCCATCCATGCTGTGTGGGTTGGTGATCTCTAGAGGGTAATTAAACTAGGTGTGAGACATGTTGAAGTGATTCATGGTGCTTTCTATGAAAGAAAGACGCAAAGAAACTGAGTAGTGATTCACAGTATGGAGTTGGCAGCCCAGTTCTGCTGTTAGTTTCTGGATGATTTATCTCCCCTCTTCATGGCTAGGGGGCATTGGCCATTCAGCCTAGCTGGAGTTGTGAAACCTGGTTGTTCATGGTGGTGAAATAATAGGAGGAGATGCTGGCATCTGTGTTGAGTATAGCTTGGTTAGACCTGAGGTGTGTTTTTTCATTTTTTTTCTTCTTTTTCCTTATCCTAGTGGGGCTGGCAATCCCTTTGAAGTCAAGGTTTTGACATCCAGCTACAGAGCAGAGCCCAGCCAGCTCCTAATCCTTGGTCACGGTCTGGTGCCTGGCCTTTGCTGTTCTCTGTCCTGTTTACACAGGCTTCTCCATGTGCCTGTGTACTTTTTTCCCATCTTCATCATGCTCTGGCAGTTGTTTCTCTTCTTCCCTTGCAGTCTTTGCACTGCAGCTCCAATGGCACTGAGCAGTGACGGTATCAAGTGGTAAAGAGGTGTGGTGGGGGTTGTATGTAACAAGGCAGAAGAGCAATTTACATCAGTTGTTTTGGGCTTGTAAAGGTTGCAAAGCAGCTCTGAACTGGTGTTGCCATTTATATAATGTTTGTTTATGCCCTGCAGGTCTCCAATATGAAAGGACGAACAGTGACAACTCTGAACAATGAGCTGGTTTGTGTTCCCAACGTAGAAGCAATTCTGGAGGACTTTGAGGTTTTGGGAGAAGGCCTGGTCAAAAGAGTGGAAGCGCATACAGAGAAATGGACTGTCTGAGGCCATTAAGAAGCATGAGAAGGACTTGTCCTGAAGCAGATTTTGTTCACTCTAGAGCCATTTGATTTTATATGTCAGTCCCAGGAAAGGCTTTTGGCTTTTCAAATCCCAGAATTGTGTATCTGACTGTATTTAACTTAGTATGCCTTGTCCAGAAAAGTGATGGGACCTTTATTGTTTTTAAGAATGCAATTATCTTTTTATTTTGAAGAAAATATAAAGATGGAATAAGTTTTTTGAAAGTGTTTCTTTTCATAACGGGAAACTGTGTTAATAACTGTGTTCGTAAGAATACATCAAGGCCTGAAAATTCTGGCTGTAGTGTGCAATAGAACGGCAGCTTCCTAGATCATAGCATCTTCTGTTGCGCAAATAGCTAGCAAATCTAAAGAAGCCAACACTAAAAACTAAGCAGGTTATTCCCTTCTACTCAGCTCTGATGACAGTCAACTGGTGTGCTGTGTCCAGTGCTGGGCACCCCAGTAAAAAGAGATGGAAATGCTGGGGTGGGTCCTGGGAAGACTTCCAGCCACCCAGGTGGCTTCCAGTGAAGATAATAAAGGAGTTGAAATGTCAGTTATACAAGGAAGCTGTATGAACTGGGACTGTCCAGACTGGACAAGAGAGCTCAGGGGTATCTTACCAATACATATAAGTATCTGATGAAGGAGAAAAGCAGGTGGAGCCCTGAGGAGCAGGGGGTGTTGGACTGGATGATTTCCAGAGGTGCCTTCCAAGCCCCTGGCTGAAATTATCACGTGGACTTCTTATGGGGAAAAATAAATGAGAGAGTGAACTAGTCCCATCTGCCTCTTTTGATTTAGGTAGCACATGCAGTGAACAGAGAAGAGTGATCACATGTGTCAGTTCACATGTATGAGTTAAATGTAGGGTAAAGGAAACTGACTTGGTGATAGCAGATATTGCTGAAACCAAAAATAGATCAAACTGGGAAGCCAAGTGGGTGTTCACGTAGTCTGATAATTGTAGAGAGTTGTTGCTTGATAAAGAAGCATTTGGGTGGGATGCTAAATCTGTTTTTTCAAGACCTACCAGCCTTTCCAGCTACGAGAAGTGAGTCTGAAGCTTTGTGGGGAAGACTTGCAGGTGTTTTTTTTTTTCTTTTTTTGTTTTCCAAGTGCCTTCTCTGATGCGTTTCAAAGCAGGCTATGTTGGGGATGGGATACGGGGCTGATATTGCATAGCTAGCGCCCATTGGCCCAGTGTTTGGTGGCATAGTGTGTCATATGGGACCTAGATACTTACGTGTAGCATCCAAAAAGCATTTTTCTCTCTTCCTTGTGCCAGCAGCTGAGAGAGGCTGTGGGTGAAAACCTTTCGTAGAATCACAGAATTGTAAGGTTGGAAATCTAGTCCAACTGTCTTCCCACTACCATTGCTACCATAGTGCTACCACAAGCACTAAGCCATATCTCATAGCTCCTCATCCTGACACCTTCTGAACACTGCTACAGATGGCAACTCCACCAGCTCCACTGGCAGCCATTCCAGTGCCTTTGTACATCTAATACCTGCAAGATCTTTGTGAGAACATCTAAACTGAAAACACCCAAAGTACTTAGTGTACCAAGCACGCATCAAATCTGAGAACAAAGTGGCACTTTCTGTTGCTACTGTGACCCCTGAAGTTAAGATACTGATGACAAATCCATTAGCAAACATAATCCAGGCAGTGACTTCAACAGGTTTCAGAAGCAGTGAATAACTAATCTCTAAACCTTCTTTATCTTGTTTTATCATCCTCTAGGTGTTTTATTGCCCAGTCTGCCTATAGCAATGGCTAATCTTCCTGAGTACTCAGATTATTTCTACTTTTTGTGCCTGTATGCCTTTGTTCCAAATGTATAGTTTGACACTGTGATCCTGTAAGTTTGCCAACAAAAGTTGGACAGCGCTCAAGTTGTTGCACTGGTTGCGTGTGCTGAAGTTAGCTTCCCTGTGTGCTCTGTTATACTCTTGCTTTTCCACTTACTGTATGTTTTAGATGTGAATAGTCTGGAACTGGGGCACTCTCTTTGCTGAATCTGTTGATGTTTTTCCTTAAGTCCCAAAGGCATGTGGTGTAGACCATGTTCACTTGCAGGGGAGCAGAGTTCCTTCAAACCTTCTGCCCCGACTGGAAATTTCTGCTTCCCTCCTTTCCTGGGGTGTCACAGAATGGGTGTGAGGAAGTGCTGCTGCTTGCTAGCTTATTTCCGTGCCATGAAGAGATGCTTTTAGCTTTTGCAGCTGGACCGTTCTGTAGTCCTCCCTATCCTGGCCTCCCCATCATAGCAGTTTGTGAGATATGTAAAATATATAACCTCTAAAGGAAGCTCTGCAGCACCTCTTCCTTTCATATCCTAGTGTTACCATGTCTGATGTTGTTTTAATACTCCATTCCCTTTTTGCTTTTAGAAAGATGTAAAATCTTTGACTGCATGGCCATATTCTGCCCTCTTTGTTGTTGGATAGAGCATGCTGTTTGCAGCGTGCAGCAAAGGGCTGGGAAATGTCCAGACTAGCCTCCTATAAAAATAATGATGCCAAGTTAACTGATGATGAGTGAACTCACTCGTAACCAATCCCTCATGCAAGTACCAGCGTGCTAGTATTTCACAAGCTTATGCCACAGCAGCCAGCTGTGAGCTGAGGTCAGGCCTGTGCAGATGGCTGCTGCTTTGAATGTCCATTTTGGTGGCTGACATGGGTATTTCAATAGACGCATCAAAACGTTTAAGATAAGCAACACTGGTCACTGCTGGCCCAGCTGTCATTACTTGGATCCATCTTTGAGCAGAAACTACTGAAGTGCATGCATTATCGCAAGTAGCTGTGTTTCTCATGTTGCCAGACCAGTGACTGATCTATGGGCTCCTGCCTCCTCTTTCAGAGGAAGAAGGAAGTCTTCAATGTCCCAAATTCTGCAGTATGCAAGTATTTAAAAGCCATTATCATGTTTGCACAATCAAACATTGCAAATGCTTTGGATCATGTCACCAGCTAGAGTTAGTCTTGTTGGCCAGTGATGGTGGACAGTGACAACCTGGAACACTGTCAAGCTGGAGTGCTTAGATGATCATTGTGTGACAGTAAGGGGGTGATGGTGGCTTTGCTGAACAAACCATTGTTCTGTAAAAAACTCGTATAAGAGAAGTGGGAAGGGAAGAGAGGAATGTGCAAGGTTAAGATGAATCCCCTGCATTGTTGTTATGGCCTCCATGCCCTGATCTGGCACTCTTGCTTCAAGAGCTAGATTTTCATGAGAGGATTTCGATACCAAAACCTGCTGGGTGCAGAAGTGGTTTAGGAGATATGGTGCACTAGATCAGCCTCAGCTTGGGAGATGATGCTGAGAAGCATGTCTTGGGGTAATGGGGTGAGTGAGAGGTTGTTTGCTTGCCAGGGTGGCAGTCTTTCTTGAGGTAGGCTCATTTACTTGACCAAACCAGCTCTGAAGTTTCTGGAAACTCAGATGTTTCCTAAAGGAGATAACCTGGAAGGAACCAGTGAAGCCAAAGGATCTTGAGGCCATGGCATCGTTTTCTGTGGTATTTTTAGGGACTGCAGTTGATGCTCTCTGATCTCTTAGGCAACACAAACATAAGAGAGGACAAGTGAGGTCTCCCAAACTCCTGTTGCCTGATTTACGGCTCTTGGTTTGTCCTGATAAATTGTTGTTGTGAAAGCTGGGGTAGGGCCTGGGTTACTCAGAGTGTGCTTGATGACAAACTGTTCTGGGTTTCCACTTCCAGTGAGTGGGCACTCAATTGCTTGCAAGTTTGTCTGTGTTTGCGTACTTGTGGTCCACTGACAAACAAGAGCTGCATACAGAGCTGCCCTTTGAGAGCCATGGGATGGTGCAAGAGGCAGGACTAGAAGGAGGGAAGTGCTGGAGCTTAAGTTGATGGCAGTGGGTTTTAAGATGTTGTCACTACTCTGGCACTGAGTGTGCAGGCATTGCTGCCATGTTAATTCTGAAAAATGATAGGAAACCTTAGAAGTTCTTCTCTGAGAGTCTTGTGCGTGGTGGCTGAGAACAAAAGGGGACATGCTTCCGAATGCCAGGCTAGGCTGTGATGAGGGGATGTTGGTACGTTTAGCGAGTGGATGAGGTCAGCTGAGACAGGTCTCAGTGGTATCTGCTTTCTAGCATACATTGCCAAAAGCTGATGTATCTTACCTGGCCTCTATCTGAGCTTCAGGCTAAAAGGGTCAACTCATGTTTTGCCAAGTATATGCTACAAAAAAGCAGTTGTTGGGAGGCAACCGGTGTTGGTTTCGATGAGAGGATGAGGGGCAGAACCTTTCTGCTTGCAGCAAGCCCCTGTTTGCCCAGTGTCCCTCATAGCTTTGAGCTGCTATCACAGGATTTTTCAAACAAAACTGGGGAAACAAGCTGACAAGATACAGCTGGAAGTGGGGTGTCTGACTGGAAAGATGATGAGATCATCCAAGCAGTTTGACTGCTTGGATTTGTGGGTCTGCTGTACTGGTCAGCTCTTGCTGGTCTGGGCAGCTGAGATTTTTCTGAAAGTCGTGCAGGTCTCTATGGCTGACTGCAGGACGATGAGAAGCCTTGAAATAAAGGCACTTGCAAGGAACATTTTGCCAAAATCACTGGTTGTTCTTGAAACTACTTAGTCTAAGTTGCCATAGCTGGCTTGGGAAAGAGCGGTTGTCTGGTTTTGGGCATAAGAAATGAAGCAGAAACAGGCCCAGGAGTGCAGCAACCTATAGCAGCTTGGGGCTGGCTTGTTTGATAACATTCCATTCTTAGGAAGATATTCTGAACCTGAACCTTCTTTCCTGGCCCAGGTGGCTGCTTCCTGGGAGTATCATCTCCTCCATACTCCATACTCCTGGGAGTAATAGCCAAGTGGCTCTGGCATGTGGCAGTGGTTAGCAAGCCTATGTGGTTTTGCACAGTGCTGACTGCTACTGCTCTGTCAGTTCCCAGGCACTGTATCAGCTACTGAAGGGCTGTGGTAGATGGGGCCACCCCAGTTTTGAAAATCCAGTGGATTTTACTCCAGGAATGGGGCCAGTCTGTGCACAGATGGCCACGAGGCTGGTTAGAATTTCATGAGCTTTATTGTGGATTGTGGATGAGGAATAGACAAGTGTTTCATCCAGAAGCTGGAGACATCTGGGCAGGGGCTGGCAAAGTAAAGGCAGTTTGGTAGTGGGGGAAGTGATGCTGCTCTCTGGCATCCTGTCTGTATGCTAGAGCAGGATGAAA